CCCCCCCTCCCCACAAAAAACAAAAAATTAAAAATTAAAAATAACCCAAAACAATTTTTTTTTAAAAACCCACAATAAATTTAAAAAACCCAACAACAACAAAGAAAGAAAAAAAAAGACATCAAAGGAACAAGTGGGAAGTGTTCTCTTGCACAGGTGAATGTTTTGTACAGCAGGTGACCATTAGAACAAGTTTAACTGTCGTTTGATCTAGTCAGAAAAGTGTTTTTAGCGCACCCCTCCGAATTATAGTCGTTGTTGTTGTTGTTGTTGTTGTTGTTGTTGTTGTTGTTGCTGTTGTTGTTGTTGTTAAAGAGGCTGAATTTAATGTTCATTTGCTATTTGTGATAGAACGTATCCAAGTATGAATTACGTATGTATTTGAGAACCTTGAAAACTCTACCAAACAACCCACGTTTGAGAACATCCAGTTGGGGTTCGATCCTGGTCCGTCCGCTACGCAGTCCAGCGTGATGCCAACAGTCTGAGCTAGCGGAACGCCCAGTGTCGTAATTGAGAATTGGGTTGCGTTGAAAAGTTCTATCATAGTGTCAATGCCACTCTATTATTGATCTAAGCAGTGCTTCAGCATTTATGTGCTGATGCCAACTCACAAAGTACAAAGACAACCAAGTCTAAACATACCCGAGTGGTGCTCATCCCCAGGTCTTGGGCAGCTCCATTATCTCCCCTGTCGCTGGCCCCGGCTGTTGTTGCTGCTGTATCAGCTGCTGTTGCTGCTGCTGCGGTTGTTGCAGATGTAGGCCAAGCCTGGTATCTCCCCCCTCCTCTTCCAGACGCCATGCTTTGTCCCGAAGGCGGGCTCGTGTGTTCAGGAGATTGCACTGGCTTTCAACACTAATACATGAGGTGAATGCAGATGATAGAATGAGACTAGAAAACACGAAAGGGGGTGAAATGAGAAAGTATAAAAAACAATTTTCGTTGCTGTCAAGTTTCTTTCCTGGGACCTCTTTAAAAGAGGAAAACTCCGTACCTCTAAATCGCCGAACGTATTAAAAGAGACCTTTCCTTCGAGTACCTCGGAATTTACTTTTAAAATAAGACTTTTCCTAAAAATACCCTCAAGGTAAATTTATAGAAACCCCCTGAAACCTCCCTAATGACTTCAAAGGCAGGCATTATTTTAAAAAATCCTAGAACTAAGCCTTTTACTTTTACAACAACAAAAAATGACCTTATTCGTATATCCGACGGCACTAAAGTGGTGATGGAGCTGACTTCCGGTAGTTGGTGAGACGCGAAACGGGAGTGCTTCTATAAAAAAAATACCCATTTAAATTAATTACATAAATAGAATTGTCCTTAAAATACCTCCAAACTTACAAAAGAAATACTTCCTCCAAATAGATCTACCTCCGAATTTACGAAATGAGGATTTTCTTTAAAATACCTTCAGTCTCACTATAGGAAACTTTTCCTTTAAGTAAAAGAGATTTTCCATTCAAGTACCTTCTAACTTGCTATGTAAGACTTTACCTCAAAGTACCCCCAAACTAACTAAAACAGACTTCTCCTGCTAGTACGGTACTTACAAAACTAGAAATTTAACTAAAGCACCTCGAACGTACTATTCCAGACTTTCGTCAAGGTACCCCTAAACCAAACTTACTAAAAGAGACCTTTCCTTCAAGTATCGTAGAACTTACTACAAGAGTGTCTTGCTTTAAGAACAATAATAACATAATGCAGATCTACCTCCAAGTTTCTTCCTTCCCAACTCCCGACCTCTGCTGGCCACGGGAGACAACCGGCTAGACATTTCCGGCACAAACTACAAGACGGAAGCACCGAAGTGTGCACTGAATAAGGCGGGTGTAGTCATCCGGGAAATCCCAATCCCGTTCTCCATTCTCCCTTTTTGCGAGTGTGTGTGTGTGTGTGAGGGGGGGGGTATGTATGTGTGTGTGTTTGGTTGTGTGTGTGTGTGTGTATGTGTGTGTGTGTGTGCGTGTGTGTGTATATATGGGTGTGTGTGTGTGTGAGTGTGTGTGTGCGTGTGTGTGTGTTTGCGTCTGTGTGTGTAAGCGTATGCGCGTGAGAGAAAGAGAGAGAGAGAGAGAGAGAGAGAGAGAGAGAGAGAGAGAGAGAGAGAGAGAGAGAGAGAGAGTACGAGTGTGTGTATGTGTGTGTGTGTGTGTGTGTGTGTGTGTGTGTGTGTGTTTGCGTGTGTGTGTGTGTGTGTGTGTGTGTGTGTGTGTGTGTGTGTGTGTGTGTGTGTGTGTGCGTGCGTGCGTGCGCGTTCGTGTCCTTGTGCAAGTATTCATCAAGCCACAGCAAATTTTTTGTTTTTGCTGACATCAATAAAATGTTAACTTATCTCAGTTAATTTATGTTTTGAATGCAGTTAAACAACAAAAACAAAAAAAAAGCAAAAAAAAAACACCACCAAAAAAATACAACAAAAAAACAGTCTTGCTTGTCCAGCGTGCGCACAACCTTTCTCTAATGTCAGAGTGACCCGTCTAGGATATTATTATGTATACAAGTCTATTGCTCAAACAATGCTTTTTGGCGCTAATGTGAATGTGACCTTATGCAGTTACGAGCGCCGTAAAACCTCTACTATAAAAAAAACCCCCAAAAAACGCTATTCCAATATATAAGTACTATAGCTCGTTCACTTTCCCCTGACAGCGGTTAAGACGGGATAAAAACAAATCGTTCTGTTAAATCTTTCTCGATCTTTGCATGCGGGTCTAAAAGTTAAGCGACCAACAGAATCCAAAAGCCTATTCATTAAAGTCACTGCAAAACCCAGATTCCGACACGTTTTCTTTGATGTAAGCCTATGCGCCCCCCACCCCCCACCCCCACCCCAAAGAAACTCAAAATTTAAAAAATAGGGGGTTTACAGCACACACCTGAAACATTTAAAAGTTGACATATTACTTTCCTCAACAAAACTCCCTAACGTTCGCGTTAGAAACACGATTCATGACACGAGGTGACTATTTTCCGAGACTCACATGGAGCCCGTGGAGACGCCTAGACAGCCGGGAGATGAAGTCTTACACTGTATTTGTGGGGGTAGGGCGGTGTAGCTGTCTCAAAATGAGCAATTTGAGGGCAAAGCTACTGTAAGTCATTTATTTCATCCAAAGAGCGGTTTTTAATATAGGGTCCAAAGAGGAAAAAAAAATTTATTACAGGGTCAAGATTTTTTTAGAAAATATATTTTTGTTTTGTCGCTGGCCTTCAGAAGTGCCATACAAAGTTTCGTGGGCTCAGGTAAATTCTTCAATGAGCTAGAATTTTTTTTAACGAGGTCAGACGAAAGTGGTTCGAACAAGCTATAAAGCTCCACCTGTTACCCACTGACTCGCTCTCGTCACAGCTGCTGTGTCGCGTGACATCATAATTTGTTTTTTTCCCTTCCATATGGCCAATTTAATCTTTTGTTTTGTCATTTTCTCCCTCTTACGCCAACTTTAAAAAAATTTAATGTTGAAAAGATAAAACCCGTGATAAAAAGGTGAGTGTGTTGTGTGTGTGGAGTGAATGTCGCTAGTATGAGTTTATAAGAGTAAATAGTGACCGTTGGATCGCCGGGAGTTGTGGCGATCTCCTGTAATCCAGCTACTTTGGAGGCTTGAGTCGGAGGATGTCTTGAGGTCGGGGTCCCCTGCTCTCGGCCGCGCCACGTAGATCGGGTGTCCGCACTAAGGCCGGCATCAATATGGTGGTGCTGGAGGAGTCTGGCACTTCCAGGTTGTCTAAGGAGGGACCAACCGGCCCAGGGGGGAAACCCAGCAGGCAAAATGTCCCCGTGTCTGCCAGTAGTGGGATCGCACCTGTGAGTGGACGCTCGTTGGCAGCCCGACCAAAACACTAGACGCGGCTCTTATTTTTAAAAAAATATATTAATCTCTTTTCTTGTTTCCAGTGTTTCCGTCTCTCGTCTTTTTTCTTCTCCTTTTTTTTTGTATGTTTAATTTTTCCTTTTTTTTTTAAAAAATTTTTTTTACAATTCTTTGCTTTCTTTTTGTTCTATTCTTCGTTTGTTTTCTTTGATTTTCTTACAATTGCACTTCCCTGTGGCTGTTTTATTAGACCGATGCCGACTGTTATCGATTTCACACCACTAAGGGATTTTTGACGTACGGAACTTGCAGTACTTTCTTATGGTAGGAAAGAGGTTTGCCTGTCTAAGATGACCACTTACCTCCTAGACAAGGGGTGATCATCTCAGACAGGTATGACGGAATATTATTCATTCTTATAAATACAGGCAAACCTCTTAGGCAGTGTCATTAGGGGGCTCTCGTGGCCTAGCGGTTAAGGTGTTCGCCTCTCATTCAATAAGTCCCAGGTTCGAATTCGGATAACGACGGGGGAAAAATTATCTAAAATTTCCTGTCTGGGCTCCGGAGGGAAAATAGCTGCAGCTTTTCTACTGCTTCTCCTTGGCCTCTTCTTACTCCTGTCTTTCAGCCTCACTCTTGTTCTTTGGTAGGAAAGATCTGCATCTGGCCTTCTCGGACAAGGGTGGGACATCTCGGAGGTCTTGTGTGCAAGTTGAGCACGTTAAATATGCCTTTGTGGTCCAAAATCGATAGTAGGCTTCGGCTGCCACATGGGCAAAATTCAAAATTCCCTACAAACTGAAAAATGTTTAATGTGTCCTGCACGCTCACATGACCTTATGCAGATGCAAGCGCCGTAAAACACTTGCAAAAGAAAACCCTCCACAAAAAAACCCAAAACAACCAGTGTCATTATAACGCAAAAGAAGAGGGGGGGGGGGGGTAAGCAGGAAAGGGGTCCATTGTACTGGTGACCGTCTTGGACAGGTAGTGTTCGTCAGAGAAGGTTCCACTGCATTTTCCTTACAACTGAAGGGTCAGGGACATGTGTGCAAAGAGAAAAAACAACAACAAAGAAACAGGCTAAGATCTCCTAACACTCTTCCACTAAGTTTCTCTTTTTTTCTTTACAAAACTTTTTTAAAAACCAAATCTTAACTATAAATCATTTCTAGTTTTCGGGTATTTTTCAGTTTGATGATTTTATCGGTGGGTTTATTGAGGGGCAAAATTATTTTTTTTAATCACCTCCAGCGGGACTCGAACCCGCAATCCCCGGCTTGCACACAACAAGATGAGCCGATCCAGCTAGGAGGCCGATGCCTTATCCATTAGGCCACGGAGGCGCTGTCTCACATAAGTATTCACAGCAACACGTGAGAGTTTTTTATGGCTCTTACAACTACAAAAGGTCATCTGAGCGCGTGGGGGTTCTCGTAGCCTTGAGGTTAAAGTGTTCGCCTCTCATTCAATAGGCCCCGGGTTCGAATCCCGATACCGAAGGAGATTTTTTCTTCTCTAAAATTATTTCATTTTACCTCCTTTCCTGCTCTTTAACAATGTTCTGTCGTCTACTTTCGTCTCCACTTTCTTCCCCCACACTCTTACCTCCTTTGCCCCCTCCTCTGGGCTCCTGGCTCTTTTTGCAGCCTTTATACTGCTTTTCCTAGACTCCTTCTTACTGCTGTATTTCAGTCACACCCCTGATCTTATGGTAGGTAAAATCTATGCCTACCTTTCTTGGACAAGGGCGAAAATTCTCGGAGGTCTCGTGTGCAAATTGCACATGTTAAAGATCCCTTGGTGATCCAAAATCGATAAGAAAAGGCTTCTGCCGCCACCCGGGCAAAATTCAAAATTTCCTACCTACTGAACGTGTTTGGTGTGTACCGCGTGCTCATATTGCCCAATGCAGTTGAGAGCGCCGTAAAACACTTACCAAAAACAAAGCGAACATCACAAGAATTCGTATACCACACAAAGGCGCCTTGTGTGTGTGTGCGAGTGAGTTGAGGGTGGGGGTGGAGATAGTGGTGGGGTGTGATGTGAGAGGGGACGGAACATTGCGCAGGTTTTGTCCTGTCGTGAACGGCTTACTCAGTAAGCCGCCCTTCTTTTATTCGGTAAATCGTGCATGTTTTAAGTGTGGTATCGATTATGGGGTAGCTGTGGTTGAATCAGAGTATTTAGCTAATTGAGTGGTCACTAAAACCCGTTCAAGACCGTTCTACCAGACAGGGTGTCGGAGGAGGTTAATTGTTTTGCTGAAAATAGTCCGCAGAGTTTGTCTCAGAAGAACCAGAAATTTTACCGGCCCCTTATAAATGTATATGTCTGATTCAATTATGTCGCTCTCAAATTTATTTATTTTTAAATAGAGATTTTTATGACAGAGAAGAGACGAATGGGTATATATTTTTTAAAACAAAACAACAACAAAAAATATATACAATCGAACCTGCCCTGACGGCCACCTTTATAAGACGACCACCTGTACAAATGGCCACTTTCCATTTCCCCCCTTGCGTTTTTTCTATATAATTTAACTGTGTAAAACGGGCACTTGTCCGACGCGGCCGCGGTCACCATATTTTAACACACAACACCTATCACACTAACCAATAATACCTGTCTTAGACGGTCACCTTAGTGACTCCATTAC